TGAACATCACAACACAGCTAGATACATGATTGAATAACCAATCAGGAACATCCCACATGAAATTTTATTAAACCTGTTCAAAAGAATTACACAGAGGAAATAAAGATTTCGTCCCCTTTACAATATTGTACTTAATTATCAAGGAAAAAAAAAACTCAAAGAGATAAAAACCCAGTACAAGCGCCACGTGAGATCAACTACCAAACCATCAACAAAAATTGTCTGATTCCCTTTGAAATTCCATTGTAGACTATTTACCCGAATCACTATCTTCTTACTGATAGATACACCAATAAAATGGGATGTTTTCGGCCTTCATTTTCTCCACTGCACCGCCATTTTTGAGCTTCAAACTAGTAAGAGTTTAGCATGCTACAAATCCAACAGAAAACTACTTCTTAAAATCCAAAAGTTATAATTCTTAAGATTTCAATGGAGAATTTGGAGTTAAATGAATTAGACTTCCATTTTTGGATTGCAAATCATTTTTAGATGTTGAAAAATTCACTTCCACAATTAATCAAACATATTATGCTCAACATTCTAAATACACACAACACACAGACATACGTACACACATACACACACAACAGACCCATACAGACCCACGCACAAATGCACAAAGAACACAAAAATTCACCAAGAACACATCAAAACATAGGCAAAAAATTTCGGAGCAGTTTGTATATATATATACATAGACGAGAAAGAGAAGAGATGATTGTGAGGTATGCCTAAGAATAGACAATCACTAGCAGAGGAGAGCAGCCCCTTTGCCTTTGCCTCGTTTGTCATAGAGGAGCGGGAGAAAAAGAAAGAGTGTCATAGACGAGAGAGAAAACGGGAAAAGAGGGTAAAAGAAGAGAATGAGAATTTAAATATCCTAGGCTAAATGTCCCCTTAATTTGTTGCTAATGGGGTTCGATGACATTACCTCAGTAAAATCTCTCAGCCCTGCTTGTTGTTTGCGTTTTTGGTGTTTTGAAAACACCTTTCATGTTTGCATTTTTGTGCCTTGTTTTGAAAACAACTTTGCTTACAAAAAAACAAAAACACATTCTAAATGTGTTCTTATTATTTATTTTTTTTTGTAAAAAGTGAAAACAAAACAAAAAAAAACACAAGCAGACAGTTATCAAACGCAACTAAGAAATTTCATATCCCGAAAGTTTAAATGTTTTCTTGGGTACTACTACTACTACCCGTTGGTTTGTACTTCAATGCCAGGACAATATAGCCATTCCTATGCAGTGCACTTTCTGATCAGTGGATTACATTTCTTATTTTTTTGCTGGAGTCCATCTGCTTTTTGGGTTTGGAAAAGAATGGACTTTTTAGTAGTTGATCCTTTAGATTCAACGTAGAGACTCAAAATAAGTGATTATATTTTTTAATCTTTTCGCTTCATTATCTAAATGAACGAATCTTTTCCATCAAAGAAGGAATTATCTCCATCGGAACAATCGGGCCATCGGTCAGCTCGGGTGGCCTTTATCGCCGAGTTGCACTCGATGATGCCGTGCTTTGATTATGTTAGTAAGGTAGTTATGCTGTTTATTGGTCACTTCACCTCTGGAATTCATGGTCGGGTTATATAAAATCGAGCTGTGACAAGTAGAGAATGATCAACTGATATCATCAAAATTTAAAATTAAAAATAGAATTAATAGTGGAGAAGTTACACATGACTCATCATCCAATTGAAAAGACACAAAATAGCATCCTAGAAGCAGCACAGCCTAACCTAACCATGGGTTTGTTAATGGCTGGTTAGGTGGTCCGACACAATAGGGTGATTTGGATAGGTTTGGAGTTCTCCATCCTGCCCAATCCAATCCTATTCTTGGAAAGCTCTCTAGTCTTCTTTATCCAATATCATGCTTGGGAAATGTAATTGAAATTTTAGGGATTCCACTGATTATCACATGATTAAAAGACTTTTTTTTTAAAATATAATTTCACCATTGTTTGCCTCTCTCGTCTTCAAGCCCCTCTCTCTCTCCAGTGTTGGCTTCAAATTTGGGATTTTTTTCGTTGTCTTCTTTGGTTTTTCGTTTTTTTTTTCGCCGTCTTCTCTACTTCAGATCTATGTCTTCTCTGGGTATTCATTTTTGTCTCCTTCAGGTCTAGGTTCAAGATTTCTGATGTATTTGTGTTAGATCCAAACATATTGAATTTTTGCTACAGATCTGATGTCATCTTCGGCGACTTGATGTATTTGTGTTAGATCCGATGACTGAATTTTCTTCGTTAATGATTTGGGCGTATTGAGATTTTTTCTGTGTGAATTTTTGAATTGGGTATCTTGAAGCTATTGTGATAGTGTATGTTGAGGCGAATTCTTTTCCTTCTGTTTTTTTTTTTGTATTTAATGACGTTTAATATAATAGAAAAATTTTATATGAAACACTCAATTCAAATAGATTTTAATATTTTCTATCCTGTAAAATTAATTTTAAAATCATATAATTAACAAATTCTTCGTATCAAAAAATACCAAAATATACTTCTCTAAAACTCTTTTTTGAATACTATTTTCTATTCAAACACGTCTTTAGCTTTTTAGAAACCATTCATATTCCCTATCACGTTAAACTCAACTCTCACAAACAAGGAGGAAGTTGCCAACAGTATTCTTCCCATTTCGTCGTCAGTTTTTGAAATTCTAAACATCATACCAATGTTTCATATCTGTTAAAAAAATAGATTTACTATCTACACAAGATCAAATCAATAATTTTTTGGAGGAGAAAGATCACCCAAAAAATCTCCGGCGAGTTTGGGTTTCACATTCTTAGAGTCACACATCGGCGAAATTTTTTGGTGTATCTTGCGTCTCTTTTCATATAAATGGATGGTGAAATTGTATGATTTTTTATCCTTTGATATCCCTATATGGTGTAACTCTTTATTCTATCTCTTTGGTATATCTTGTTAGTGTTATTGGATGGTGAAACTCTTCAAAATATCGCATTGTTGTATTTTTTTTTTTGATGTTACTGGATAGTGAATAGGTGGATTTAACTCTTTCTTTAGTGGGACTCTTTTATACATATTTTTGGTGTCTCTCTTTTGAAGTACCAATACAATAACCTTTAAGAATGCTAATTTCGGATCGAGATAGAAAGAGTAACGGTAACTTGAATATGCAAAGAAAGAGAGGGAGAAAAAATAAGGAGAGAAAGAGAGTAATGATGAGAAAAAATCGATATAATGAAAGAGTAATGATAAGAAAAAATAGAGGGAGAGAAAATAATAAAGAGAGAAATAGAGAGAGTGAGTGAATAAGAATAAATATTTAAAATTCAAATAAATGATAAAATCTAATCAAATTTTTACATATTTAATTAAAAAATAAACTATCAATTAGTTATACATTATTTAATTAAGGGTAGTTAAATAATACACGAAAAAATCAACTGAATTGTATACCTAATAACGAGAAATTTATGTATAATTAAACTTAATAAAATAAAAAATTTATCAATGTAATTTCTCTCAAATAAGTCTTTAAAAATATAACCACTCCCAATTTTCTCTCTCAAGTAATCCACGTACACTAAGCAAAGATAACTTTTTCAGAGGGATAGCCCCAAATGAGATTTCCTGCTTCTCAANTTTTTTTTTTTGTATTTAATGACGTTTAATATAATAGAAAAATTTTATATGAAACACTCAATTCAAATAGATTTTAATATTTTCTATCCTGTAAAATTAATTTTAAAATCATATAATTAACAAATTCTTCGTATCAAAAAATACCAAAATATACTTCTCTAAAACTCTTTTTTGAATACTATTTTCTATTCAAACACGTCTTTAGCTTTTTAGAAACCATTCATATTCCCTATCACGTTAAACTCAACTCTCACAAACAAGGAGGAAGTTGCCAACAGTATTCTTCCCATTTCGTCGTCAGTTTTTGAAATTCTAAACATCATACCAATGTTTCATATCTGTTAAAAAAATAGATTTACTATCTACACAAGATCAAATCAATAATTTTTTGGAGGAGAAAGATCACCCAAAAAATCTCCGGCGAGTTTGGGTTTCACATTCTTAGAGTCACACATCGGCGAAATTTTTTGGTGTATCTTGCGTCTCTTTTCATATAAATGGATGGTGAAATTGTATGATTTTTTATCCTTTGATATCCCTATATGGTGTAACTCTTTATTCTATCTCTTTGGTATATCTTGTTAGTGTTATTGGATGGTGAAACTCTTCAAAATATCGCATTGTTGTATTTTTTTTTTTGATGTTACTGGATAGTGAATAGGTGGATTTAACTCTTTCTTTAGTGGGACTCTTTTATACATATTTTTGGTGTCTCTCTTTTGAAGTACCAATACAATAACCTTTAAGAATGCTAATTTCGGATCGAGATAGAAAGAGTAACGGTAACTTGAATATGCAAAGAAAGAGAGGGAGAAAAAATAAGGAGAGAAAGAGAGTAATGATGAGAAAAAATCGATATAATGAAAGAGTAATGATAAGAAAAAATAGAGGGAGAGAAAATAATAAAGAGAGAAATAGAGAGAGTGAGTGAATAAGAATAAATATTTAAAATTCAAATAAATGATAAAATCTAATCAAATTTTTACATATTTAATTAAAAAATAAACTATCAATTAGTTATACATTATTTAATTAAGGGTAGTTAAATAATACACGAAAAAATCAACTGAATTGTATACCTAATAACGAGAAATTTATGTATAATTAAACTTAATAAAATAAAAAATTTATCAATGTAATTTCTCTCAAATAAGTCTTTAAAAATATAACCACTCCCAATTTTCTCTCTCAAGTAATCCACGTACACTAAGCAAAGATAACTTTTTCAGAGGGATAGCCCCAAATGAGATTTCCTGCTTCTCAAATATGGGATAAGTGGGACCACCAAGATTTTGTCCAATATACCCTGTATAAACCCCTTTTATCCCTCAATCAAAACTGTGTTTGGAGAACAAGACAGCCATAGACAAAAATGCAGTGAGAAAAAGATGAACTCATACATAATAGCAAGAAAGATCCAAAAATCTGAAAAAGAACAACAAATGTTGAGATTTCTGGCCTGGGATGAGAACACAAAGCAGTGTTTATTTTTCTCTATTACAATTTAGTATAACTTTGTGGGGAAAAAAAAGCAAAGACTTTCAAAAAATGCCAGCCAAATAATATTACACTGTACACTCATTTTCAATCATTTCCCGAACCTCATTAACCACCAAATATGCTTTGCTACCACCAATCACTTCAGCCTGTTTCTTGCTATCCTTCCACAGCTGTTAAAGTGTCCATTGCAGAATTAATGTTGTAAAATAGCTAATTTTATGAAGCTGAATGTAATGTAATAGAAAAAAACTTCTATGGTTGGAAAACACAGTAACATTTACCTGTATGGTCGGCATTTTCTGCTCCGGATTTCAAGCCCCATGAATTCAAATACAAGAAAAAAGGTATTATTGACTGTCAATCAGAAATTCTGCAAATTTAAATGGGTAAAGCAAGGCAGAGCCATGACGCTACTATCAAATAATGGAAGGGTCCAGCATGTTCAATGAGAAAGCGATTTCATCCAAGGAGGCTACAAATACTTTAGCATATCCTACAAAGTATTTGCAATTTGTATGTATCCTATAGGGATGGGTAATTCTGTGTAGAAACAGTTTCTCCCCTTCTTGTTTGTAAAGCCAACCAAAAGAATTAATAAAAAAGAGCTTTACAATTTTCCTAATGCATCGTTTGGTAGGAAGGATGAAAAGTAACAAAGATTGAAAATAAGAGGAATGTACTTTCTATCCTTTAAAGAAAGAAAATAGGAATAATACACTTTCCTTCTTTTGTGTTTAGTAGAATAAATGAAAAATAAAAATAATTAATTTTTTTTTTGCGCTTGGTAAGATAGAAAATATATATATTTTTTTATTTTTAATATTTAATTTAATTTTAATTTTAATTTTTTTAAAAAAAAACTATAAATACATATTTTATCATTTTATTTATATATGATATTAATGTATACATAATATATGTATATATCACAAGATATATAAACAAATAATATGCATTTCAACATAAAAAATAAATTTTTTATCCACTTTCTTTTCAATTTTGGAGGGATTGATTTTGGTGAGTTAGAAAAAAAGTTCATTCATCTACTTTTCCATCATTCCTATTTTCCTTCCTTACTAAACATGATATTTTATTTATACCTCCAACGTTCTATCCTTCCAACTTTCCATCATTCTATTTTTCTATCGTACCGACAAGTGTATAGATACTCCCCTTTCCTGAGTTAAATATTTACTAGGTCCACCCTTAAATGTGAAATAACATGACCAAACAAGCATTAAGAGCATTCAACTTCTGAAAGAAGAAAAAAACACTAGTAGCATTCAAGGTGTTTTTGTAATAAAGAGAGACTTACAATGACTCCTGCACGAACCACGAGCTTGTGTGGGACATTATTGACATCAACACAAAAAAATTGTATTCTGCATCAAAACATGGATGATAAATGTCTGAGTTCAGGGCCGCCACAGCAGATAAAAAAACAAAACATAGTTTAAGCGTACATATAGATACATGCACACCTAAGCACTTGATTATATGAATTAGAGAGAGTCAACCTCAACTGTTTAATTGCCTGTTTGTGCTGGACAGTTGGGAATCAGGAATCCTTTTTTTTTCAAATAAATAATAAAATTGCATACTTATCCTTATCGCTCTATTTCACATTTCATGCCACACTAAACTACAACCACCAAAACAAAAAGCTACAGTACGAGGGATTTCATGCATGACACCATTGAATTAGCCAATTAGAAAGTTCAATATTCAAAAATTCTATAACAGAAAAGTGACAACAAAGTGATCCCCAAGAGCTATATTACGAAATGATCCATACAAGCCTCTAACACAGCTGAAGATTGAAGACATATAATGCGACTCAATTTCCTGGGACAAAGCTTTTTCCCAAAATTTATCATACAGGTAGAAGAGAAAGTAAATCTGACCTTGGATGATAATCAGCTGCCAATTTTTCCAATTTTGGTTTCAAATATATACATTTCCTGCACCAGCTTGCCATCCTACATACCCAAATCACTTAAATGACATCCCAACTCAACTGAAGCTCTGTCACAACAGAAATTCACTTATAAAAACAAGCAAACATACAACAAACAACATACGCAGGCATACGTCAGTGTGGCAATGTATTCATAAATATCATAATGTTAATCCAATTCAAGAATTGTTCATTATCTGTTTGTACGAGAAAACAGTCCCCTTAAATTTGAATGATGTGGCAACACTGCAAGAATAGATAGATCAATGACTTTTTCAGCCTTGAATGACGAGGGTAATGACATGTGGGGCTCAGTGGAAGATTCAAGGGGAGTTTTTGGCGGTAGAGTACCACGGAAACCTTCACATCATCATATGGCTGCGAACACTACAAGATTGTTCAAGAAAACTCTAGTTCAAAGCCCATATTCTAATCACAACACTACCTGGGAAGAAAATTAAGCCTATTAAACTCATAAGCTCATCTTACTTTTCTTCCTTATACTATCCGACACAATTAAAAGGAAAAAACTTTGTGAGTAATTCCAGGCATTTCAAGTAAAATAACCCTCGACAAGAATTACCAAACCCATATACAATATCCAACAATAAACTCCCTAAACCTATCTTTTCCATGAACAAATACAAACAACCCAATAGGTAAAGCCAACAAATTAGAGTAATTCTCACCAAATTGAATCAAATCAGACAAAGCCCAGTAATACCAAGAATACAAACCATAAAATTATAACCGCATCTTCAAGCTGTTGCGCCTCAGCAATAATCCGATCAAACTGGCTTTCATTCGAAATGGGTTCAAGCTCCACCGAAACCGGGGAAGAATCGAGCCCTTGAACAGACCCTTCGCCGCTATAATTAGTCAAAGCCTTGATATGGCCTCCAAATAACCCGATTTTCTTTGAAGAAATGATTGAATTCGACGCTAAAGTAACAATTTTGGAAGAATTTGAGAAGTAGTGAAAACACCCAAGAAAATCAGGTGAAAAACACAACGAATTTGTTGTTTTTGGATATATAATTGGTAAGCACATTCGAATCGAGTTACACATGTCTATATGTGTATTCAAGCAAAAAAAAATTCGCACCTGTATGCATAAACCCTAAGGCCTTTCGAACGTTGAACCTGTTGACGGTGGCTTAGAGAGAAAGAGAGAGAGTTTTTGTAATACCGGGTGCCACGTAATGGATTGCTGACGTATGCCAAATCAACGTTGTGAAATGTCCTAGGGTTGTTTGATTATGGAGGAAGAATACGGTATCAATCGGTGTCCTAGCAAAATTTATAATTTTTCAAAATTAAATTATAAACTTTTAAATTAAAAATAATAAATGAAAAAAGTATGATTGGTCTTAAAAAATTATGATCGATCATAAAAAAAAATTTAAGATAAATTTATAACTAATTAGGGATATTCACGATTATAATATTTTATGATCGATCGTAGATTTATTTCAAGTAATTATAATTTTAAAAATAAAAGATATAACATAGATTTAAAAAATAATAATTTTTGATACGGTAGTAAAAAAAATGCTATAGAATTACCGTTTGATTACGATTTGGATTGCTAACTCTGACTTGACTATTTTTTTTTTTTTTTTTGATATCAAAATATCTGGCAAATCGAATATGTGCAAAATAAATTAATAAAAGTTAAATTTAGAACAATAGATCGCCTCTCAGGCGATAAATGAGATTTACATTCTCATCCATTTTTATCATTTGTAATTATCCTAATCAAATATAAATAATCACCAATTCATATATTTATGAAAAGTTTGAATAGATAATTAAAAGGTATAAAAAATGTGAAAATTTGAATGAATGGTTAAATATACCATGTGAAAGATTTTTATTGTTGAAAATCTTATATTTACTTATTAAAGTCAAAATTCAAAATGACAATTGTCACGTTTTAAAAAGATCGATGTTGGTCCAAGAACAGAACAAGTAATAGTATTAACAACATAATAGAAGTGCATGTTGTTAGGGGTAGAAATCGTGCGTTCGGATCTCATTCTTGAACACCAAGGATTTTGGCTGGTCTGCATCATTTTCTAAGGCAATACAGTAGTCTTTACCTCTTAGTGCCCGTGTGGAGCTTCGTCCCACATCGATTGAGAGTCGTCTCCCCCACTCCCTTATAAGACTGAACCCCTTAAGGATGAGTTCTCACTAGCGACCTGATCAGGTGCTTAGGGATGTTCAGGGATGAGTTCTGTAGGCCAGCCAGAATCCTTGGTGTTCAGGGATGAGATCCGAACGCGCGATTTCTACCCCTAACATAAAAGGCGCTTTTATGTAAAGGATAGAAATCGCTACGGATCTCATCCCTCCACTCGAAGAATTTCGGCTTGACCTGGTTAACCCATTGGGCGATCTTCAGTAGCCTTTACCCCTCTTCACCCGCAGGAGCTTCGTCCCACATTGGAAGAGAGTCGTCTCTCCCCTCGCATATAAGCCCTTGCACTTAAATGAGGAGGTACCCACTAGCGACCTGATCAGGTGATAGGGTCGGGAGAGTCCTGAGGTATTTCTTGATTCCTGCCAGGGTGTCTTCGCACCCCTGGCTCCACATGTCCTTCCCAGCCCCCTTGATGGCTCCAAAAAAATAATTATCAATAGGATCAAGAAGAGATTGGAGAAAACTAAGGGAAAATGGGCGAATAAGCTATTGAATATTTTATGGACGTATAGAACCACTCCTCTGTCCTCGACAGGAGAAACCCTTTACTCCCTGACTTATAGAATGAAAACAATCATACCTCTAGAAGTAGGACTTCCAACCATAAGGACGTAGGCCTTTGACATAGGGGGAAACAACCGTCAACTCGGACTGGATTTGGATCTAGCAGAGGAAAGAAGGAAGATGATCGCCTTGAGAGTAACCAAGTATCAAGAAAAGATTTCCCAACTTCACAACAAAAAGGTCAAGGCGCGAGAGTTCCAAATCGACGATTTGATCCTCAGAAGGATAACAGCCAATACCCGTGACCCAGCAAAAGGAAAAATAGGACCTAACTGGGAAGGGCCTTACAAAGTGGTATCTGTCGGAGGCTCCGGGTCATATAGATTAGAAGATATGAAAGGGAAATCTGTAATACGACCTTGGAATGTGATAAATCTAAAGAAATACTATTTTTGAGTATTATTTCCTTCAGTGCTCACCAGCGGCTAAGTTACAAGGGTAAAGCCCTGGGGACGGAGTTCAATGACTTTTGCCCCCGAAAGAAAAACAGGAGCAAGTCTCCTGGAAGGGTAAGGCCCTGGGGACAGAGTTCAAGGACTCCTGCCCCTAAAGGAAAAATAGGAGCAAGCCTCCTGGAAGGGTAAGGCCCTGGGGACGGAGTTCAAGGATTCCTGCCCCCCGAAGGAAAAACATGTGGAAGGGTAAGGCATTAGGGACGGAGTTCAAAGACTCCTACACCCGAAGGAAAAACAAGGGCAAGCCTCCTGGGAGGGTAAGACCCTGGATGTAGAGTTCAAAGACTCATGCCTCGAAATAAAAAGTACGAATAAATTTTCACGATGGGCAAGCCCCCCGCGGATGCGTGCGGTCCCTAGCAATGATGAAGCTAAACCAATCGGGCGGACCGACAAGATAACTCCCCAAGTGTCGGGGATATCAAGGTCGTAGAGAAGATGCACGAAAGAAAATGCAAGAACAAATAAAAGGCTATTCATTTCAAAGAAAAGGGGTTTTGCGTCCCCGAAGGCTACAACGTTCAAAAAAAAGAAAAAAAAAAGGAGAGAAAAAGTTTCATCTGGCCCCGAGCATCTCCAACACGTCACTGCAACGAGAATCAACGCAGAAAGAGTGAGTAGCGTCGGGGGCAGAACCAACAACAGGAAGGGTCTGAGGAACATCGGACTCGGGAAGAGCAGGGGCCGAATCTAGCAGGGCCTCATCGGATGGGACAAGAATTACCACTTCAGGTGGGTCTACCAAAACTTGCATCGGCGTTGGACCGGCACCCTCGACAGCAATCTCGACCTCGGCCTGCGCTATCTCCACCAACGGCACGTAGTTGTGCATCCGGAAGAGTGGAGAGTCTGGGAGGACACCGACGCCTCGGAGCGCCTCATCCCACCCCTTTTTGAACAACTCTTTGTTGTTCTCCTCGAGGGCGGGCAGTATGTCATCAGCAAACTCCTCTCGGATTTGCTCCTCGGTCTTCCTATTCTCCACTTCCGCCCTGACCTTGTCCAGCTCCTGGGTCAGGTCCAGACAGCTCTCCTTTGATCCAACAGCCCTCTCCTCGGCCGTAGAGAGTCGCTGCGTCTGCTCTGTGATCCTCCTCTCAGCGTCAACCAGGGCAGCACTTAGCTTTTCAGCGCCGACCTTCGCCAATTCGCTGTCCTGAGGAGTTGCTCAATCTGAGCAGCTTGCCCCGCGAGGATGGAGTCCCTAGCAGCCACGTCCTCCTTAGCAGTGGTCAGGGCTCCTTCAACCTTTTCCTTATGCTCCTGGATCCGTTGGAGGTCCATCCTGGCTGCATGATACCTCGCAGCGACTACGGAAATTTGTTGGGTGGCCTGCGAGGGAAAGAACTTAGTCAATTATAGGTGATGCGGCAAGAAAAGACTGAAGCGAAGATGAACTTACCACCAGGGAATTCTGAATGATAGAATGAAACAACGCATTCGTTGATCGCCCCCTGTGAGCCACCATGTCAGCCTGGAAGTGCAGCGTTTCACCCACTGCGTTGGCAACATGTGGGTCCTGTAAAATGGAGTCATCAACCCTGATCACTCGGTTCATGTGATCAGTGGCCCGAGGGTTCCACTCTGCGCCTTCCACCGTCTGTGGAGGGGGAGGTGGAGTCTACCTCTGCTGCTGTTGATGTTATTGTTGCCTCTGTAGTTGCTGTTGCTGTTGGGGAGGAGGAGGTAACCCACGACCTCTCCTGCTTTGCTGCTGAGCGGAGGGGGCCCTGGATCCCCTGCCAAGGTCGTCGTGCCTTTGTTTGACCCTTCTTTCCTCCTCTGCCTGAGGATCTCGGTCACGCACTTGACCCCGACCAACGACTCTTGAAGGTGGGGTGACATTAGTCCCTGTAGATGGGGCCCCGCTGGTTGATCCTCGTCCCCTCCAGGCAGCGAGGGCCTGCCTCTGTCTCAGGAATCCCAGATCTATGCGAGGCGTGTTTGACATAGCTACCTCGAGGGCGTCTTCCTCATCTAGGGATTGCAGGATTTGGAAATCAGGCCACGAATCTCTCCCTGAAGTCTCCACTTCGGTGTACGAAGGAACAAATGCCTCTCTGGTCCCAAACTCCTCAACTTCAACAACACCCTCTACTTCGGCCTCTGTAGCCCGGTCGCGGTCTTCCTCCAAATTCTCCTCGACCTCTTGTTGCACAGCCTGATCGAAGAGTTCAGACCACCGTGAAGGCTCGAAAGACTGGGAAAGTTGCGAGAACTTTTTATATCCGGGAGTGTAGTTCAGAAGAATGTGAGCAGCCAGGCCGAACCCGTCATCGCCAACAAATCTCCAAACAGTGACGAGGTCGGTAAAGTTTACCAAGGGGCGAAAGTGGAGGAGCTGTTTCCCGAGCGGAGACGTCTACACAAAAAAAAGAGAGGAGAGGGAGTTATGAACACTTCTAAAAAATCTCAAGAACAAAATAATAAACTTGAAGAAGCCGACGTACTTGTCATTCTCCATTCCAAAGGGCATAACAGACCGTCGTATTCGGGATCGGCCCCCCTCTGCCAGGACCCCTTAAAGATCAGTAGGTCATCCTTGTACCCTTTGTCCGAGTCAGGAAGGTGAGTTACGAGGTACATGGATGGGTCCCTGGCTTTAAGGTAGAAGTTTTGCTAGGCATAACCCTCAAGAGGGAGTAGCAAAAGAGGATATTGTTTAACCCAACATTTACCTTGAGACGCTTGTTGAGCTCTAAGACTCCCATTATTATCCTGAAGACATTGAGGCAACACTGCCCGGGGAAGAGGTGGAAATGAGAGAGGAACTGGAGGAGTAGAGGGGGGCAGAGGGAACCTAATTCCTCCCTCTATGATGACTTTGGTATAAAAGGGCATCTCATCTGAGGGTACGAAAATGCACATCCGAGTTATAATCCTCTATGTCTACATATGGGGGGATGCGATACTGGACCCTAAACCTATTAATCTGCTCGTCCTTCTTCATTTTGTACTTCCCTGGTCTCGAGGAACTAGTTTGAGAATTCTCAGGGGCGGGGCAACATCAGGGTATCTCCAAAAATGATAAAAATTGAGGAAGAAGGGAGGGGTTTTTCCACGAAGATCCCCGAGGAGGCTTCCTGAGGGTTGGTCACAGAATGGTAACCAGAAACACCTCCGGTTATCAGAAAATAAAAAAAAATAAAAACAGCAAGAAGAAGAAAAGAAGAGACAGAAGGGCGAAGAGAGGGAAGATACAAGGACTCACCAGAATATAAACGGAAGTTTTTCTTGAAAACTTGAAGTGATTCCTTCCCCTAGGATGTTTAGAAGCAAGGATGGATTTGCTGGCCTTGAGACTCTGGTGAAAGATTGGGTAGTAGACAACGAAAGGAAAGGGATCTCCGACGAGGTTTCAAGCAAGGGCTCTCTGAAGAAGTTCGAAATGACGAAATGAGAGAGGGAGAGAGGAAGCCCATTTATATAGTACACATCCCCATCATTTGGGCACGAAGCACGAAGAGACGCATTTAATGTGCATGACCTCCTAAGTAGGGGAAAACGGCTAGAGACAATGATGAAGTGGTTGGGGTAGTTGCAGAACCCTTCGTCTCCTTGAGACACGTGTCCTCGGTGTCAGGAGATCGAAGGCTGGGGGGCAGTTGATGGGATATTTTCAAATACTCCAAGATGAAGACACGTGTTCTCGGCATCAGTATATTCTTGTTACTGTGATCACGACACGTATTCGTCGGTTCACAAGTCCCTCTTCCCCCGAGGTATTATTCATAGGGATCAATGACACCCAGTACGTTACGTACCGACACGTATCTCTCGGTCGGATATGGGGTACATCGGTCCCTATATGTACCACTCCCTCGGTACTGAGATGTACCTGACCAGGTTGGCATTTTCTGCTCCTGCAGAGGCTATTGATGTACAGGTCACTAGCCTAGGCTAGGCTAGGTTAGCCATCATGACCTCGTCTTACACTGTTGGTGTCAGAAGGCAGAAGACATAACCAATAGGGAATGAGCACGTGACATATTGTGTCAGATCAGAGACAAAAAGACCGAGATGCCCTTGCTGACACACGACTTGGGAAATCAAGCATTTAGTGCACCATTCTCTTGATGAGACATCATTTAATACAGAAGGCTCGGAAGTGAAAGGTAATAAATGTCCCTATGATTGGACATTTATTACATCCTTACCGAGAGAAGCTCATTAAACATTCGGCAGGCCGATGACGAAGCATTGGTTGCTCGGGGTCCCGAGCAGTTAAGAGAGAAGATATTCCTTATAGGAATCAGTGCGCACGTTGCCCGTATCTAATGATCATCTACTGACCACATTGACAGCAATCATGAATTTTTGAGGTATAAGTACTCCACATAAAAGGCAAGATGGTATGCAACAAAAAATCTTTTTCTCAAAGAAATACACAGTGTTTTCTCCTTCCCCTCTCTCAAAAAACTAACTTGATCGTCGAAGGGGATACGCCAAAAAACACTCCCGCGCCCTCCTAACTCATTTTTCTCTGTTCTAGGAACTTCCCTCAGTCTTACTGGACCGCTCCGTTGATCCACGAAAGTCACCCATTACCGTTCCAAGCCACCACCGGACCTCACAGTCTGTTCCAAGCAGCAAGATTGACTGACTCCAGTTCACCACGGGAGATATCTGTTCTCGTGTTTATATTGTACAATATCCTACACGTACACATGTCAACAGGCTATTTAAGAGTTTAGTCACTTGTGGGATGCTGGAAACAGTTGCTTAAACCAATTTGGCCTTCCTATGCCAAGTCAAAAAAGTACACCTTTGAATTGTGAATGATCTCAATATATGAATTGTGCTTATTCTGTGGAATAAATGTGCTCTACGGTGGATAGAAACTTTTCAAAGTTAAAAAATGATGACACGGGACGTCAGTGACGCACCAATTATAAGTGATATGTGAACCCCGTTCTTTGTTTTAGTGACCCCTGAGATACCTCAGGTCGAGCACAAGAAGACAGAATGCCACTAGACTGAGGAGAATGACATGTGGATCCCACTCGTTGTACTGGACCACTTACACCCTAGAGATACGTCTCTCAGGACCGATAAAATTGTCTGAATATTAATTCACTTTGAAATGCTGGCTCTGTGCATAATAATTGACACGACGTGTGGCAAAAGACAAACAATCATTTTTCACATCAACATTGAAGCCAACAATGAATCTTGTGAATGACGAAAGAACTTGCTAACGTGGATCCTACTAGGTCATATCCCGGAGGACATCTCAATAAGTGCTCGATGTGTGACCATAAATGCTCGATGCATGTCTCTCGATGATCGGTGTGGCTTAATAAATGCTGGACATGCGTCCTTGAATGCTCAACTCCCGAGCTATAGACTTACTAAATATGTGGCTTGAAGATAGAAAAGCCGTTGATATGATAACCTCAAAGAAGGATGTTGGCTGTAGGATGTCAGACCTACCCACTTGACGTGATCCATAAGTTTCTTTGTCATCATCTCTCAAGGTATAAATAGGCTAAAGGGTTGAATCTCAAGTGCACACACATGCACAACTAAACCTACAGGATTTCATCCTCTTTGCCTTGAACGCTGACTGACTTAGGAATCCAAAGGGATATGCCGAACAAATCCCTGGCCCCTTCTAACTTTGTTTCTTGTTGCAAGAATCTCATCTCTTGTTCAACCAGGTGACATTACCTCAAACTATTGCACAGAAATCAACCCGTGCAGGAGCAAAGCTGTATTAGCATACAATACGTTGAATCTTGTAATTACCATAAGAAAGAAGCAAATCTGTTCTGATGCACCCACAGGCGCAGGTGTACCAAATTGCATGTATCTTCATGTTATCACTGTCTTGCATATGTAGTGTTTAATCAGGATTAAAAAGATTAGGTTGAATTATAAAAAATACTACAAACTGTTCCTCCCTCATGAGAGTGTTCTAGATGTAGATGATTGTCAACCACGGCTATGGAGAGACGAGTAATACAAGTCTTAAATTTGACTCAAGGTTTGCAAAGATACATAAATCAAACAGAAAGAGTTGAAATTTAGAAATGTCGTCATCACAACAATCCCTCACCAAAATTGGAATGTCTACGTAACGAATGGCTGTCTTACTGTAGGAGATATCACCAAAAACTTCAGCCTGCCAAACTCTCAATGATTTCAGAGAGGGCTGAATAGGTTCCGAAAGCTGACGATATGGTGCCTACTGCAATTACCAATGCACAAAGCAATCCCTGCCCAAAAAAATTAAAATGCATGTTAGAGAAGAAAAAAGCAGCAAGCGGTAAATACAAATAATAAGCACAAAGCAGTCATTCTCCAAGCATGATTGAATGCAGTATAAACTGTTGAGCATTTGCGATAAACTAAATGCTTCTCAATTCAGACTCCAATCTGTAGACAGAAAACAGAATTTTTCTAAATTGTTTTCTTCTGATTATGCGTTCTTGTATAAGAGAAACAACAAAAATACTACTCTAGAGGGTTTTTTTTTTTGAAATAACTTTTTGGAGATCAACAACATTGCATAATAAATAAATGCCTGTTTGGGTAATACCAAAAAGAGAAACAGCTATCTGGCATACGATGTCCAATAGTATGACAATGGAAACAAATGGGAACTTAATCAATGTACCTGAAAGCGGGTTACTTTGCCCTTCAAGATGCTCAGAAAGCAAGCACAAGGAAGTATTAAGGTCTGGAACAGAACTTTCAATTAGCAAAATGAAACTACAAGGACAGTAATTTTCTAGAATTCAACTATAAGAGAAGGCAAAAAGCAGGGGGAGAAACTAAATGATAGAAATGGCACATGAGAACTTACTACTAGCATTGTTAGTGAAGATCCAATCAAAGCCATCACCAGACCTGTCAAATGAGAAACAAATAGCCAAAATGCTTAACGCAATTTCTAAACTACTAGGACTTTAAGTAACATAATGCATTTGTTATAATGTAAGAAAGAAATACAAATAAGTAAAATGGACAGTGAGATTGAGTTTGAGGTATCCACCAACAAAAACTTTGGTCATGGATTGAGTTGCAGCCAAAATTCTATTACCATATTATGAAACATTCATAGCATGAAACTTACCAAAAAAGGGCACCGTAAGACCCACAACCAAGGTAGAGAACACCAATGCCGTTCTTATGAGGATGGCGTACATGTGAGATTTAGCATGGTTTGGTGGTATCAGTTCCTCCAGACTCAGTGCCACCGGAGAAATGGTTAATGCAAACGTGGGTCTAGTTAAGGAATAAAACATGCACTTGCTCTAATATGGAAGCATAAAGAACTGAAAGAAACAAGAAAATTAGGGAAGAAACTAAACAATCCAGCTGTCCAGAGTCATTTTTCCATAGACATGGAAGAACATTGAACGGAATTGACAGATCTTAGCATAGATCAATTTCCCAAAGCATTCCTCCCTATCCCACATTTTCTGCTGAATCACTGAAAATTGTTTAGGTTGAAGGCCACTTTTATTAGTTCTTATCACGTGTAATAGAATGCTAATGAGAGGGAAAGGCAACATCCTGATTTAAGATAAACCACTATCTTAGAAGAAGGATATTTAGTAAGTGGATTAACTACCTGCAAAAAAGCAAACAGGACACAAATTATGACTACAAAATGGAAAATTAATGTTTAAAAACCATCACATGAACAGAAAGAATTCAGAAATAAGAAGTTTTGAAGTGAACAGGGGAAAATGATTTAGCCTGCACCAACTAGTCATACTGGTTAACCAGGCTGTCCTCTCTCTGGTTATAATTGTATTCAAAGTAATTAATGTAGCTCAAGAGACCTGGGAGTGTAATGGTGACTAAACATGACTAAGCAACTATCATTTCAAGTACAATTAACTTAATATGTATACATTCTTGGTGGGAGATAATGTTAAAAGAGAGTGTATAGTACGACTCCAGGTAGTGTAGACCAGTTTATCACCCCCAAACATGTCATACATAGTTGCAGCAATAATAAAACAATCAAACGAAACTAACACAATGTACAAAGAAGGTCTAAGAGGGAACATGTTTTGCAGTTTGGCGTACCGTAGTCCACACAGCAATTTTGGTGGAAACCAAATCTTGGGGCATGTTAAGAGTGAATTGTGACTCTGCCGATTCTCCAAACATCATGTATCCCATCACAGCAACTGCGGCATACATTATAGTACAGATACCGAAACTGCATTCAGAATAGCTTTTCTGTCAATTTTTCCTTCTAAAAGAAAGATATTTCTAAAGCTACTGATATGTTCATTGTAAGATGATCCAAGTCTTTGGATACTTGAGTCCATGGTTAAATTTTTTCTCTCTTTCTGTCTCAGACACTCCTGGTGCCGATATGATGGCAAGACTGCCACTGAATACAATTGCTTAGAGAGTGTTAAAGTGAATATTCAACCTCGTCAAGAATAATAATTGTTAAGATTGAACAAGCATTCATTTAAATAATTTTGCATGCCATAAAAAATGTTTGAAGTTTTGATTAGAAATAGAACTACCAAGGGTCTAAACAAATGGTTTAGTGCTAAGGCTTATTAACCAGCAAATAGCAGCCCTTTCTTAGTTTTGATGTTGAATGAGATGACTGAGCATAGTTTAAGTTTACCTAGTAAAAAGGACTGCTGGATATTGGCTTGGCTTTTCCATTGATGTGTAGATATTGGGAAAGACAGCATGCCCCGAATAGCAATAACCATAGAGGCCGATGGCAACAGGAAGCGTAGAGAGGTTCAGAGCTGTCCCTTTGGTCTGGAAGCCAACTTTATCCACCAAGCCACCCCAAAATAAGCAGATAACAACCAGCACTGATGCAATAACTCCGCCAGCTAGAAACAAAGAATCGCAAAGTAAGAAATTTCTCATGCTGCATAGCAATAGTGCAGTCAGATATGTTCTAGTGCACATTTCAAACATGTATGTGCTCAAAATGTTTGTTAGCTGTCTTTCAGAAGCCAACTGAAATTTCCACTGGCTCCATAGAGTTGCCTTATGGATAAGGCTATGATGGCACCGAAAAGTTACTTTTCGGTAAGATGCCACCAAACGATTCTCAACCGTAGAGCTTCGTTTGAGTTATTTGTTGTTGTTGATATTAGAATTAATAAAAAAGTGGAAAAATGAAATAATAGAACTTTCCATACTCCATGCTGTGATTGGACGAAAAAAAAGGAAAAAAGGACGCATAATACTAAAAGTTACTATTCAGTATAAGTCTAACCCGTTACCTTATGGACAGGCCTTTATTTACCTGCCATTACAAAGCAGTCTAACTAACTATCCGACATACCAAGTCTATAATAAGTCAAATGATGCAACTAATTTTGGGTTGTAACGTGATATTAGCCGTGGGGGTTGGAAAGGGTTTGGACAAGACTCGAATTTATGAATTTGGTAATTGATTCCCCTTTTGTTCATTACATGCATAGTGTACTTGTTGTATCTATGAGTTTATTGCCTGGTTTTTCTACTTATCTCTCCACATGGGAGTGAGAGTCATCTATGAGTTTATCGCCTGGTTTTTCTACTTATCTCTCCCCATGAGAGTGAGAGTCGCACATGCGTGAGTGTTAGAGCTACAAAATAACACGTCCCAAACTACTATGCAAGTTGTGTGACCTCCTCATTCATTGTCAATTGATTTTGGATTGGATACTCTAGTCTTGGTAGTCTATAATTAATGATGGGAATCTTATCAAATGCATGTGGGTCACTTCACCAGCATCATATACGTAATTAATTGACTTGTTTTTTACCAGCCATGTAACAGTGCCAAAACCTGACCCGGACAGTCATTGTTTTCTCCTCAAATTAGAATACACCAAGTTTACATAGCAACTTTCACTGTCATGAAAAAAGACCTCCTTCTCTGATACAGTTCCACAGGATAATATTAAATCATTAATAAGGAATGCAGGACTAGAGGCTGCAACTGAGAAGAACTAGAATACTCTATTTCTGAATACTGAAAGAACTAGAAATTTAAAAAGGTAATATTCATGAGCAAGCTAAAATGCTTTAAACTCACCAGAGATGTAACTAAGAATACTCATATCTCGGAGCCAAACCGTAGGGAGAACAGCAAGGGCAGTCAGTAATGCGAACAGATAGTGTGAATTTAACTCAAGTCCTCCCAAGTTTAAATGCGCATTTGGAAATAGAGACGACAAGTTATCACTTTCCAAAATTATGTATTCAACGCAACAAGCCTGCAGGGAGAGAACATGGAGATCGTGTCCGTAGTATGGAAGGGATCATAGATCGTATTCAGAAACTAGCTAGGAAACAGCATTTTCTGGCAAGATGTGACCTTGCATATTTTATACAACCAACAAATTTATTTTTGTGAATAGGTATTTATTTCTAGTGGAAATGCTCAATGGTCTGTATGTGTATTGACATGCTTGTGCAACACATTATCTCTCCAAAATTCTATCTCCCAAGTATTAATGTGATTTCATAAGAACAATTGCGAACTACTGCTTAAAATAAATTTTAAATGATAAGTTTTCCTCCAAAAAACAAATTTTATTTTACAACAGTATGACAGTCCAGTCACAGACTTTTCCCACATCCCATGATTGTTGATTACTCTTTCAAAAAGGTTATTGAAAAAGAAAGAAAATTCCAAAAAAAAAAAAAAGNAAAGTTACTATTCAGTATAAGTCTAACCCGTTACCTTATGGACAGGCCTTTATTTACCTGCCATTACAAAGCAGTCTAACTAACTATCCGACATACCAAGTCTATAATAAGTCAAATGATGCAACTAATTTTGGGTTGTAACGTGATATTAGCCGTGGGGGTTGGAAAGGGTTTGGACAAGACTCGAATTTATGAATTTGGTAATTGATTCCCCTTTTGTTCATTACATGCATAGTGTACTTGTTGTATCTATGAGTTTATTGCCTGGTTTTTCTACTTATCTCTCCACATGGGAGTGAGAGTCATCTATGAGTTTATCGCCTGGTTTTTCTACTTATCTCTCCCCATGAGAGTGAGAGTCGCACATGCGTGAGTGTTAGAGCTACAAAATAACACGTCCCAAACTACTATGCAAGTTGTGTGACCTCCTCATTCATTGTCAATTGATTTTGGATTGGATACTCTAGTCTTGGTAGTCTATAATTAATGATGGGAATCTTATCAAATGCATGTGGGTCACTTCACCAGCATCATATACGTAATTAATTGACTTGTTTTTTACCAGCCATGTAACAGTGCCAAAACCTGACCCGGACAGTCATTGTTTTCTCCTCAAATTAGAATACACCAAGTTTACATAGCAACTTTCACTGTCATGAAAAAAGACCTCCTTCTCTGATACAGTTCCACAGGATAATATTAAATCATTAATAAGGAATGCAGGACTAGAGGCTGCAACTGAGAAGAACTAGAATACTCTATTTCTGAATACTGAAAGAACTAGAAATTTAAAAAGGTAATATTCATGAGCAAGCTAAAATGCTTTAAACTCACCAGAGATGTAACTAAGAATACTCATATCTCGGAGCCAAACCGTAGGGAGAACAGCAAGGGCAGTCAGTAATGCGAACAGATAGTGTGAATTTAACTCAAGTCCTCCCAAGTTTAAATGCGCATTTGGAAATAGAGACGACAAGTTATCACTTTCCAAAATTATGTATTCAACGCAACAAGCCTGCAGGGAGAGAACATGGAGATCGTGTCCGTAGTATGGAAGGGATCATAGATCGTATTCAGAAACTAGCTAGGAAACAGCATTTTCTGGCAAGATGTGACCTTGCATATTTTATACAACCAACAAATTTATTTTTGTGAATAGGTATTTATTTCTAGTGGAAATGCTCAATGGTCTGTATGTGTATTGACATGCTTGTGCAACACATTATCTCTCCAAAATTCTATCTCCCAAGTATTAATGTGATTTCATAAGAACAATTGCGAACTACTGCTTAAAATAAATTTTAAATGATAAGTTTTCCTCCAAAAAACAAATTTTATTTTACAACAGTATGACAGTCCAGTCACAGACTTTTCCCACATCCCATGATTGTTGATTACTCTTTCAAAAAGGTTATTGAAAAAGAAAGAAAATTCCAAAAAAAAAAAAAAGGTGTCAAAATATGAAAGATCTGTGATCTGGAGTAGTGATAAGTGCTCATCCACACAAACCATATATGATGGGTTTGAGCTCGTGAGTCGTGATCAATTTGTCCATAGCTGGATTAACTATTAAGGACCTTTCTAATTGCTGGGCTATGCTCTTGCTTGTATTGTGTTCATAACCAAAATTATCATCCACTATAGATGCAGACAAAGTGGTCACTGAGATCTTAACTAAGGGCAACTTTCTACTAGGAAGCTTATGAAACAATAGATAATCAATCATATGTTGTTTTGGTACCATTTTGACAATGTTAAAAACAGTAACCAAAAATTTCAAATGATAAAATATCAGCATAAAATGGATTCATTGAAGTGAAGATATGAAAATGTCAACAAACATGTGGGCAGATTTTGATGGACCAAACTTTATCCTGTTTAGTGGAACCAAAACCTCTAGTCACTTTGCTGTCGGACAAACAGGTCAGAGAAACAAGTGGGGATTTGGATTCTCTGGATTTCAAGATTATCTTATTCTTTCTAATTTGTCACCCATCCTAATGATTCAACAGACAAATAGGATCCAATGATATACCTGTAGCCAATTGAATTAAAGAAAAATGGGAGAGTCTAGAATTGAAAGAATTCAAATCCCCTGGAAGAATCTTGAAACCGAAAGGATACAAATTCCAAGTGGGGAACAGACATTATTACCGTCCAAATTCTAGGATCTAGAAAGATATGGGTAGTCCCCACTGAATAAAGTGCATCGTGTTCTTATATGTTTGCCTCAATTTCCTAAAATTCTAAAACTGTTTGATATAAGTAAGGAGCTCTATTGGGCAAGACTTCCATACCGTATGGTACCAAAAAATTATTATTTTTTCGTTAGGCTACAATATTTTTGGATTAAGTCAGAACTAAATACTGTTTAGGATCAATCTTAAACACCCATTTATTGTAATTTCGTCCAAAAATTTATAGCTTCGCTTAAACAAATGTAAATTTTGGTAGCAACAAATAATCTTTTGCAACCGCATTTCTTACCAGCTCTATTAGGTCCCACAAAACAGCCAAAACCACCAAAAACAAAAGAGCAATGCTATTAGGACCTTATGTGGGACCTAATGATGCGATTTTAGTACGGTCATTGAAGTAATTGTGAGTTCTAATGTTAGATGAAATCCACAACCAATCCAATAATTGTGCATCATTAGTTTCCTAAATAAGATCTAAATAGCATTTTCCAAAACAAAAAAACTCACAGTAAAGCCAGCTGTACTTACATATAATTCCACGTACAAGATAATCTGCACCCACAGAAAACAAAAGAAGAAACAAAGAGGGAGTCAGCAACCAGTCATACTTTAGATAAACTCTCTTAAATAAAGGGTCAAAGTCTTTGAGGCATTCCAACAAACATAATCTAAGCATTTTCAAAATGGGCCAGACTTACAGAGATGGCCAAGCGTCCCACAGTGCCAAATGCAGCCTGGCCTATGTCTGGGTAAGTCTCAAGCCCGGGCTGGCTATCCAAGCAAATACGCAAGAGTATACCTGTGTAGTAAGAAAGCGCTGCAAAGATGAAGAGTATAGAAAGGCCAACCCATCCTCCTTGTTTGACAGCATATGGAGTAGAAAGAATTCCTACCCCACATAGAACATTCATTCCTGCATAAACCCATAGTAAGAACACTGTTATTTTGTTGGAATTGGAATCAGTTTACTCTTTTGTAATCAGATACTTGGCTCACATGGTCATCCAGTACAAGTTTGTTAGGATAGAACTGGTAATTGAGCCGAATTACTCAGGTTTGATCTAAGTGTAAATTACACTCGATTTGAGGTTGACTCGTATTCTAAATGAATTAAATTTGAATAATTTTTTAGGATTGTTTGACTCGGCTCATTTTTATATAAAATAATCGTCCTACTGAAACTCGACTTATTTTTTCAACCAGTCGAACTTGTATAATTTTTTAAACTTGTTTAAAAAAACAAACTCGACAAACTTGGTTCGAACTCGTAAAAATTGGTAAAATTATCAGTCCTAACTGGAAAAAGAGAGATTTGAAATTGAATTTGGATCTCCTACTAAATATTTTTCTAGTATTAACCAATTAAGATGGTATCACTAATATAAATGAGTTTTCCATCTTGGATGGTAACCATTGAAAAAAGAGTAATGACACCAATCCTCCAACGATTATGATAACAAAAATCAGCATAAATTTTAAGATATTATAATAGATTTTAAAAATATTCAATCAATCCTAATATTAAAATAAATCATAAATGTCAAACAATCTTATTTTAGTGTAACTTTAACAAAACGAAGCTAAATCTCATCATTTATAACTTGGGTATTGAAAGAATTTTTTAGGGCCGTAATCTTATCCTAAAAAAGATAAAAATAAAAACAAAAATTAATGAAATTATCATTGGGAGCTATGTCTATTATTCTATCCCACCTCAGTTCAACTCTCTCTCTCTCACTCAAATATGGTAAGAACTTGAATGTATTCTCTGTAGCAACCTAAGCTGCGGAAAGCACGGGCATATTTGTTGGTTATTTGGTCTTTTCATGTGCACCCATGTGTTGTATGAACTCGGTGAACAAGTTGTGGCTCAAATGAGACACAATGTTTTTGTTTGATAGTGAAAATAGTTTTTACAAGTCATAAGCCACCACAACATTGAGCAATAGATAAGCATAAAGAAAGATATATAAATCTTTAAAAGAATCAAAATATTTGTTTTGAGTTAAAAACTTAATAGAAATTCACATTGGCTTGAACCTTCAATTTTGAACAGAATGGATAAATGTGATTAAAGCCGAAGTTTAGGGTATTATAAATTGTAATTTTCCTAGACAAACACGTCATTAAAGTCAGAACTTGAGACAAAACACAATCATCGCCGAATAAAAACACTAAGAAGAACCATATGCTGAATTTATTAAAAGTATATTTTCAACTCTATCTCTAGTTATTTTTCTAGACCAATGGTCATTGTTGTGGTCCCTAAAAACAGCCTTTTTTAAGTTCATTTTCTAGGAGGCGGCTGAACAATCAAAAAGACACACTTATGAAAAACTCGATTTTAATACGACAAACTAATTCATCTAATATTAAAGAAAAAAAATATTTGGTTTTAAATTAATTTGTGTTTCTTAATCGCATGCATAAAGACCTAGTTAATTTTAAGTTTATAGGGTATATGGGTGGGGATTAGTTGAGAGGAAAATGATCTTAATTTTAATTTGTATTTTGTCCTCTGGGTCAATTCAAGTATAACACAAGAAATAAATGACACGACTAACTAAATACTAAGATTAGCAATGACTATTAGTCGATGCAAATCTAATATGACACACTCGAACATGACATCGACCTAATTGCCATCACTTTAACAACATCCTAAGAGCAAATTCTAATAAAAAATGATCTAGATTCATCAATTACATTTTTTCTTCAATTATCGATAGTGGGTAATTTAAATTTTAAAAATTAAAAAAAAATATATATATCCAAAACTTTCTACCACCGATCAAAGAATAAAGTTTGGGTCATGTATCATACCGTTTAAAACAGCTTGGCCGTAGGAACTCTGGCGAGAAGCAGGAAGCTCATGGCCATGGGAGACCTTGGAGAGTTTCTGATCAGTACCCACTTTCTTACCAAGAGGCCTCTTTGAAGGAATAGGAGGGAGAAGAGAGTGAGAGCTACGCCTTTGCTGTGGCTGTGGCTGTTGTTGTTCATTTTCTGCTGTTGGTAACAGAGGCTTCACCAAATTTGATAGTATCTCAGGAGTGTGTCTCCTTGTAAATGATGATGACAGAAATGAACTGCCTAGTCTTGATAGTGTAGGAGTGCCCAGAAAGTTTATGCTTGGTGATGGTACACTGCTATACAGATCAATCGACTGCCTGAAATATTAATTCAAAAATGTTAGCTATTTTGGAACAGAAATTCTAACTTTTCTTTTCCCAATAATTTCTCGTAAATTCGTTACCGTGTAGTCATTTATGGACAGTCTGCAAAATTATTTGTAATTGAAGATGAGCAAGATAGTTGGTAGTAAATAACAATCCAATGCATGAGATTTTGGTCGCTAGCTTACAAGATCAAGGGTAAGTTAAATATATGCAGTTTTACCGAGTGTAAAAAATTCTATTTTTGTAATTCAAATTTGGTATGTAGCAATTTTAGTGTTGCATGAAATAGGTGTAGAAAATGCAATGAGATCAGTGAAAATAATGATCAATTACTACAATGATATGATAACAATCATGATGGTTAATTTGGATTGAGGAGGAAAGATTCAACATTTTTTTAGGATAGAACCAAACAGAACAAGAAAGTTTAGGGTCATAAACACCTATTTCATATCTCCTCCAATACTTGTTTTCTCTATTTTCTTTTTTACCATATCATCCACCATTAATCGTAAGAGATTCGCTTATAAACAATGGGTCTCACTTAAATTTACTATAACTAGATATATACAAAGCGCATGTTACTTTCAAAAACAACACAGCTCTCAAATCACCTGATGAAATACTGCAAGAACAGAAATGATACACACAAACACAGAGAGAGAGAGAGAGAGATACGGTTACATATACCTGTAACTTTGAGGCCAAGAGGTGTTATAGGAATTGGGTTTGCTCTGCTGCTGATTTTCACGATTGTCGTTCGAATAAATCGAATCGTCTGAATCATTGCTATCATCTTCACCTTTGTCAAACGCCTTCTCTTCATCCTCATCTTCACTACTCTCAATGTAAAACCTCTCTTCCGATACTGAATTCTTCATTTTCTCCAATATCTCTCCTAAAAAACACCCTCTTCAAATTCCTTACAACTTCAATCAAAGTTACATCTTTGTCAACAGTTATACCAAAAGAAATTTCATTGCAAAGATCTTGTACAACATCAGAAGATAAACAAAATATATATATACATATCCATCCATATATGGTTTGTGGGTGTGTGAAATAACGACCTATAATGAAAGCAATATTAAGAAAATTGCACAGAATCTACATAAACGTAAATTTTGCGCAGTTTTTAGAGTGGATTTGAACTGTTAAGAATGGAATTTTAGACTTAGACCCGAGAATATCTATGCATTCATATGCATGTAGAGAGAGAGAGAGGGAGAGAGACGTACTATCTTTGAGCTCTGAAAGCGAGGAGTTTCGGCCTTTGTGGGTTTCGGTTCAGTTAAGAGGTACAGAACTTTGAAGAGAGTGAGGACCTTCGGAAACTACCTAAGAGTTCGGCTTTCTCTATCCAGTACAAGTAGAACAAACAGCTCTTGCTGACAGAGAACAGAACAGAACAGAAGAGAGAGAGAGTTCTGTCTAGTTGGTTGTAATGCAACTTAGAGCTTTTAATTGGAGCTTTTAATGGCTATTTATACGGACTTGCCTGTACTTTCGGGTCCGCTGAGAAAACTTGGGCTCGTTTCATAATCGTATTATGAGGCGATTAAATATTAAATTATATTATTTTTTATTTAATTGAATATAATATTTTGTTTGATAATTAAATTTGATACCGTATTAATTTCAAAAATATATACTTATCATATATTTTTTATACGTTAGATTTGTATTATGAAGATATTTTAATACCATCAAAAGAGATGATATTATAATCCAACTCAAATGTATTATTTTGCACATTTATCATTATACTCCTCTAACTGATAAAATCAAATTGTCATCAATATAACAAATACTGATTGAGGTTATTTTTGTTAATTCAACATTAATACGATAAAATAATTCCTTAACCAAACAACCGATTAGATTAAATAATTACTATCTAACATTTATGTTGTGTCTCACCAAACACTAGATAAAATTATGTATTATTTTAATACTATATTTAATTTTGTCTTTTGTCTTTCTGTATTGTATTAGACCGAATTATTTTATCTAATCCATTCATTTCTAATACGCCAACCAAACGAACCCATTGAGTTTTAGGTGAGAGTAATGTTATGATGATAAATTTCTTTTTGGTCAAAATAATCAAATCATTTTTATTTTTTAAAAATTAAAATAAATTAGTAATGCCATCAAAATTTAAATATTTTGATATGTTTCATAATATTTCGAGATATGTTAGTAATGTTTTGACGTATTTATACAATTATTTTGAAATAATTTAAGGTGTTTCAAGATGTTTTGATATATTTTGACTAATATTTAAAAAAAATAATTCTTAAATTTTTATTCGTTTTGATTTTATTTAGAAACAAGTCAAAAAAATTTCGAAACGTTTTTTTAGATGACTAAAACAATGTATTAAAATGAAATTTTGATCATAAAATGTTATGGACATTCAAAAAAGTGTTCTACTTTATTGATATAATAATATCTTAAATAAAAGTAATATTATTAAGAGCTAAAAAAATTGATCTAATTCAATGATTGTATCAAGTGATAGAGTGCATGTCATATCATTAAATTAATAAATTATGTTAAATTTTTAAATCCTAATAACATTATTAGGCAAGTAATAGAATCCTAATTTAGATAATAATACTATTTATACCTAATTTAATGACAATTTATTGGCTAATCCAACACAACTATTAAATTAGATGCATTGCTCAAATGAAGGAGTCTTATACTTCGCCACAAAATATTGGAATGGTTATAGGTGAAGGGTCAACAAATTAAGTTTAAATAAATTATTTTAATAAGAAAATTTAATAATTACTTTCACCACATCACTATTAAACTATGTCACTTATAATCATTATATTAACAAATTAGGTTAATTTTTCAGATTCTCAAAGTATTACTCTTTCGATAATCCTATTTATATTTTGTTCAACCGGTGTAATACATGTAAAATTTTTCATTTCATTTCATTATTTATTTTTATGATCAATGACTAAAAATAAATTAATAAAAAATATATGACTGAAAATTAATTTTTTTTTTATGTGAGACCAAATTACTTTTAATTACCATAGTCTTACCCGTCCTTTTTTAGTGTTCTAGTCTTCAAGATGCCCACCACAAGTCATAGGCTTATATATTGACCTATATATTTTTTGATTGCACCTTCTAAACTTTTTAGTTTAGTCTACAAATATTTCAATATATCGTATCTCTTTTATTTGTCAATCAATAACCACCGAATAACAAAACCACCACAACACAAACAGAGAGATTGGTGGTGCGAGTTGGTCTATCAAGTGGTTTGGAGAAAGGAGACGAGATTACGAGAGGTTGTTGTGAACATTAAGATTTGTATGGAAAAATACCCTAAATGTAAAAGATGAACATGTTGTGCAACCTCATAGTTTAGTGAATGTGTCCACCCCAACCACCAAATATAAACATATATAAAATTAAACAACTGTAACCATTTTCTTAGTAGGAGAGTGATAAGAAAAACAATGTAGCCAACCCTAGTTTTATATTATTACAGCTTACACAACTTGTTCAATATCACGTACTCACAGTCACAGCCTACCCCAAGGACAAAGACACAGCCACGATTATCCTCTTTAGATCCCAATGTTCCACATGGGGGGATGCTATTAAACTAATACCAAGGATGTAAGACAATAGAAATTATAATGGGCCATGTCATAATAAACGTTGGGTTAAATTATTCAAAGGGATCAGATCTGCCAATCTCATCATTTTCTGGCATAGTAAAAATATTATTGAAGGATTTGGATGTTTGTTTGGATTCCCCATGCCTCATGACACTATTATGTCCACATTCATATCAGCATAACTTGCCATATATCTCACTTCAAACATATACTATATAATTACATTTATATATGTACATTCATATTCGTATATATGTGGATCCATATGTTTATATACGTTTATGTGTATACATATATTTTGGATAGATTGAATAAGAGTTTGGTTGAAATGGTGGTGGGGCACGAGAGGACTATGAGTTCCGAGGAGGGACCGTAGGGAAAGAGGGGAGTGGAGGGGTAGCAACACTTCCAAATGTCACTTCTTTCTGTCACCTCCGTCTTTAAGACTATTTAGTTGAGGTCGGGGTGGGGAGGGGCAATGGAGTTGTTCTAATCAAGAATGCTAGATTATGAATCTAAAGGATAGGGGTTGAGGTGTTGAGTTTGGCACAAGAGTAGAAATTGAAGTGAGATTTATTGGGTTGATTCGATGCGTCGAGTTTGATCTTCCTTTTTTTTTTAAAAAAAAAAAGAATTTATTGACTATAAATAATATGGGCAAAAGGGATATTCTCAGTCAACAAAAAAAAAAAGGGGAAAAGGAACATTTTTCTCGAAAATATTGTAGATTTCATGTTTAGAAAGTGCATATCTTTCTCTGTCATTTCAATTTTCATGATAGTTATAAGATATTAATAAGGCCGGTTTAGTCCAAGAGGCTAATTTGAAACTTATGTATTTTTACTTAGCTAACACTACTTTTGTCAAACAATAAACTTCCGATCTACTTTGCGAGTTTGGTTAGTCGCTTTCAAAACCTTAAACAATAGGTCCCGTAAGCTTTGTCCTGAATTCTCCCTTTTGTATCCTCTAGCTAAATTTCAACGTTACATAATTACATTCCTTTGGACGGGACTAATTGAATTAGGATATATATCACATTCAAATATCCTATTATTATTCCATCAATTAAATTTTCAATTTTAGTTGTACTATATTCAAATGATAGCTTTAAATTTGGATTCATCTGACTCACCAATCTCATGATTGAACTATATCATCTATCAACAAAAAAATCTCATTATAAATGTGGTAAATAGTTTGTATAACCTAGTCAAGGGCTATGCTTATGTAAATGGTTAAGGCATTAATTCGAGCTTTGTAGTGTAAAAAACACGAGTTCGAACATAAGAACAACTGTTTGATTCAATAATCCCTTCTGTCATATTTGTGTAAATGAGGTTACAATCTCTCAAAACACAAATCTCACCCAAAATCAAATTTGTAAACTAGATGATAATGTAAACCTTACCATTGCAGATTCATTTACCTGATAATTTCTACGAGACTTGAAAAACAATTTGAAATGATGACCCGACCCTTAGTTATAGACAACCCACTACATCAAACAATTTTCGTTGTTGTGAGATTGGGGGACGGCCAAATATATGCAACTCTTTCCTCGAGTGTAGAAAAATTAGTTTTTCAATTCAAATTAACAATATCCATATCAAAATTAAATAATTTTACTACGGATATTTTAGGTATGCCACCATAAATATTTTTTTTTAAAAAGAGAGAACTTCTTTGTGCACTTGAATGCAAGAGGAAGAAGAAAGAATAGCTCTCTCTCTCTCTCTTTTATGGTGTGTCTGTTTCTGTGATGGGGGCATATTGATTTTGTTAATTGGCAAGGCCTTAACATTTTTGCAAGGACTGTCTCATAATGAGACAAAAAATATTCCATTATAATAGGCATACTCTTATCCCCACGTCACATGCCATGATCTTGACTCCATTGATGGATCATATCAGTCAATAATCTGGTACAACATAACTCACATTAAGCACCAAAGGTCTAGCAAACGTTAGATGGCAGCTACCCCACATGTTGCATATAACTCTGAATAGCAACCGTCACATATAGTGTTTAGGGTTTGTCCCTCACATGATATTTTGTGAACATGCATATCCATACTTGGATGCCTTCATAATTGAACCTCATATTATTCTATTCTCTTTCTAGATCAACAAGGGGAAAATAATTGAAGGGAGACGTGAAGAAGGTGGCATTACGTCTTTAATGTTTTGTGGTGTCATCAACTAGTGATAGAATACCAAGTGAATTTAATAGGTTCTATTGTTTTAGTAACTACCAATAACCATCTTGTCCAATAATTGTCACGATGGAATAATGACATCCACCAATTTTATTTGTTTTTTTATAATTCTTCGTAGTGTCACTATTACACCCAATATTTACTCAAAGTGTTGAAGGTGCATAATATGAAGATATACTCCTAAAATGCAACATCGACTTTGCTTATCACTAATATCAAAACCACTATAATGTAAATGGCTAACATTAACATGACATCTTAAAGAAATTGAAAGGTCAATGATTTAAAATCATCACTTGTTATAAGTAACCACCAAATGAATGGATNCTGTAGAAAAATTAGTTTTTCAATTCAAATTAACAATATCCATATCAAAATTAAATAATTTTACTACGGATATTTTAGGTATGCAGCCATAAATATTTTTTTTTTATAAAGAGAGAACTTCATTGTGCACTTGAATGCAAGAGGAAGAAGAAAGAATAACTCTCTCTCTCTCTCTCTCTCTCTCTCTCTCTCTCTCTCTCTTTTATGGTGTGTCTGTTTCTGTGATGGGGGC